ATAAAGAAACAAACACAATCATGGATGCAATCTTGGGTCTAGCCCCATTATCAGATAATTATTTGCCTAGACTGGCTTTTAATGAAAACGTTTTATCAGGATTGCTTAAAAATCACAGCCATCTTACTTTTGTTAACAAAAACATATGGAAAATACAATAAAGGAAATAAGTTATTTCGGACAAACTCTGAACGATCACCGCAATGTAAGCACACATTAGTGATGACCAAATATGCAAAACGCTGAGTAATCCTAAATGCGGACGTTCTGTAATTCTTTAAATACCTCTTTTTTGTTAAGGCTAAAACTGGCCAGACAAATGATCACTGTGGCATTTGTTTACAAAAAAAATAAGTGCAATTACGCCTTCATTAAATACAGTAACAAATAAAGGGTAGAACAAATATTAGAAATAATAACGTTAATGGTAAAAGACATTGTACCGGTAAATGTAGCTGCGATAACGACGCTTTCTGACCACGAGAGAATTTTTTAATATATTGCGTCGTCCGGGGCAGAGGAGGCCGGGTATTAATATTAGTACTAAGGTAAAGGGGACTTAATGGAATGCTTGATTTTTTTCATCTTTTGTAAGTTTAGTTTTTTTTTTTAATCAAATAGAAGAGACAAAAATGATGAAAACGTTAAACAAGCAAATTCGTGATATGTATATCCCCCGCTTGCAGGACATATTGTAGGTTAACATTATTGAGGTAAGGTGTAAACATGTGAGTATCGTGCTGTTGAGACATAATGTATAGCTTGAAACTTGAAGAAAAAGCACTATACCTCATTGATTATCTGCAAGTATGCACAAATCACATCGGTTGGCAAATCTAGCATGAGTCGGATGTGCATACGGAATTTGGTTGAAACATCTGAACAATATCTAGAGCAATTATCACACGAAAGCCAAAGAGTGGCGGAGATGGGTGGAAAGTCTGAGGAATACAAACATTGTTATCAAGTTTGTAGGAATTTGGCTAATATTTGCTAGATTTATTAAGCAGAAACTGCAGAAAATGACGTTTTTCATTATTCGAGGGGCCATAACTCTGCCACATGGAGTCAGATTTAAGTGGTTGTCAAACTTGGCCGAGCCTTTAATGCGTTGAACCCTATTACCAAGTTTGAATGAAGACAATCGGATAATATTTGCGAGAGTTAATGAACAGAAACGGAAGATAATGACGTTTTTCGTTATTAAAGGGGCCATAACTCCGCTAAATGGGTCGTCATCGAACTTGGCGGAGCCCTTAATGCATTTAACCCTGTGACCAAGTTTGAAGAAAAACGGTTAACATTTGTTGTAGTTATTGCACGGAAACTAAGCGCGGCAGATAATGACGTTTTTCATTATTCAAATGGCCATAACTCCACCAAATGGGGTCCGCTGACAGTGGTCATCGTACTTGGCCAAGCCCTTAAGGAATTTAACCATGTGACCAAGTTTGAAGAAAATCGATTAACATTTGTTGTAGTTACAAAATGGGAATAATATAATTACTTTTAAAATATTGATTTAGAATCATCTTTCATAACTACTTTATACTGATTTGGAATCATCTTTGAGCTAATTTTATTGCGTTTGCATGTCACCTATAGACCAGGTAAAGCTTGTAAATGAGAGATGTTGTAACACCATCAGTTCTTTATTGTTTGTCTGTGTGTACTTTGAAATTACCATGCTCTTTGCAGGTTATGAAAAGATTAACACACTCGTACCAACTGTGATTGCTCCTAGGGTCCTGTCACTCCAGCATGGTGACCTTATAACATTGAAATGGTTGAAATTAGTGTCCTATAATGAAAAACGCCTACTGGCAATCCATAGACAACTATCAAAGTTTTCCCCATTTCTGTTACCACCCAGGGACACAATCATGCTACCCATTCAAAGGGTCATACATGGCCGCCGAGATATACAACATAGTAATTAGTGAATTATAGTTTGAAGGTTGTTTCGAAAAATCACATATAAGCCCAACTTATGTTTCAAAATAAACATTTACATTTTTTACTAGCCTGGGGCATTGGGCTTGGCAATTTAGGCAAACATGTAGATGTTTATGAACTGAAAAAAAGTACATTGTTTTATTATTTTTTCAGTCCCCGAAGGGTTCTCGAAGGAAGTTTTTCAGGGACATATCTTCTATACTATTTCACCTGGAGTAACCAGATTTGGTGTACAAGGACATCTTTGGATGGCAGAGTGAAGAGTACAAGAAGGTCACTTTGACCTCGCTGTGTCCTATATGATTTCACATTTGATCTTAACTTTTGAAAAAGTTGGACTGGGAAATATCTTCTTTACTATTTCACCTGGAGTAACCAGATTTAATGTACAATGACATCCTCGTAATGTGGAGTGAAGAGTGCAGGAAAAAGGTCACTCTGACATAACTGTGTCCTATGCTTTGACCTCCGGAGCATGTCCTCTCTACTATTTCACCTGGAGTAACCAGATTTGGCGAACAAGGTCATCTTGGGATGGTGTAGTACAGAGTGCAAGATTTAGGTCACTGTGACGTATGACTTGACATTTGACCTTTACTTTTGAAAATATTTGTACGTGGCATACCTTCTATGCTATTTCACCTGGAGTGACCAGATTTGGCGAACAAGGACATCTTGGGATGGTGTAGTGAAGTAGGTCACTTTGAACTCACAGTGACTTATATGCTTCCTGACATAAGTGTACTGTTTGTGTATAGCAATTCTTACCGGTTGCCATTGGGGTCTATGAATTGCCTTGTAATACTTTGCCTTGTTAATAAATATTTTCTATGCACAGTAGATTCTATTTCTGTCCTTTTGTCTTGAGAAAATTTTGCCCTAAATGGATCAGGCGATATATTGACAAGGGTGTTAAAATAATATTAATTTAGCAACAACAAAAAGGAAGGATTCTGTTCGTTTTGTTACCTTCAAGTTCTTAGCTGGGGCGCTGCAGGCGCCCGAAATCTACACTATCATCACAAAGGTTACTGAACTATGTGAGCTCGTTTATAGGCAGTGCCTATTTCATATCATGGAGTGAAAACAATGTGCTGAACCTTTTTCATATTTAAGGGACAAAACACAGCTTAATAGTACCTTGTTCAAGTTTTGAGCAGGTTTTTCAGATCGTGTTAGAACTTCACAATCAATAGGTTGTTGACTATTATGAGGTTAAGGCATTTGTATGGAGTGTAAACAATGTACTATTTTTAGCATATTTTATGGCAACACAAACAGCTCAAATGGATTTGGTTAAAGTTTTTGAGCAAGGATTTTATGCAGTGTTGGATCACCACACTCAAAAGGCTGTTGAATATTATCAGTTTTATATACAGTGTATGCAATGTCCAGAACCATATTTTATATTTTTAGGGCCATAAACTGCTTGAGTGGATTAGTCCAAAGTTTTGAGAATGCAGCTTTTGTGCAGTGTTGGATCACAACACACAATTAGCTGTTAAATATTACAGGATTGAGGCTTTTATATGGAGCGTAAGCTATGTGGTGAACCATTTATTTATATTCTAGGGGCCAGAAGGGTTCTCTTTAAATTCAAATTTGTGTGGAACATTTCCTAAGACCTTGAAACTTTCAAAGATTACATTTACTTTATATTAATTTCAAAGCTCTTTTATTATAAAAAAATATATTCTATGATACTCAAAATAACTCATTTTAGTAAATCACACCATGTTAAGATATTTTCTAACTAAAAGATATCACGAGTTATGCTTTTCCTCAACAGCTACTGTTGTTCATTTGGGTGACTTTAAAAAGGCCCATTGTTCAGGATAATCTTGGACTGAAAATCAAATGGAACTTGTGGTTCGTTTTTGCCAATGACAAAGTAGTTACAGGATCCAGATTTCCCGTCAAATTTATTTAAAGATTGTTTTGACAAAGGTATTTGTCCACTCTTCTACACTCTCCGTAGCATCAACATCATCACCACAATATAAATCGGATAAAATCATCAATCAGGTCAATCTAGTAATCGGCATTCCATTCGGATAGTAGCGAGAGGAATATTTTATCTTCGTAATCGTCCATTCATCTGATCTTTCATCATCTTGTCGTTGCACCATTTACATCTTATAGTTGTGTAAAGATTTTATGACTTCTCTGTCAAATTCAAATTCCACACCAGAATTATCGCTTTCGAACCGTGAATTTTCGTTGATCGCCATGTTTACATTTATGCGCCTAAATAAAACTTTTTCATATATTTACCAATCTGGTTAAGTAAACCTCCTCTGATTGGACAAACATGGGGTTGCCTTAGCATTGCTGAACTACTTACGTCTCTTAAGCATATTATAAAGTGTTTTTATGGCTGACTTTTGAGCATTCGAAATTAATTATGTGCGCCATTTACATCAGGAGAGTCCGTCATGTATATCTCGTGTTCGTAGTATTCGTGTGTGAATCCCTTATCTCACTCTTTTTAATAAATCAATCTATCTGAAGTTCTGTCTATATTCTATAAATATGGGGGTGATAAGGGTTTCTTGATGGAATTTGTATCTCGTCAGATATTTTGTGCACCTGTGCAACACAGTTGAAAACTTACTACAAAGGTGTTTTCTTGACATTTAAACCCCTTCTTAGTAAGATTTAAGACAAAATTATCTCCCTTCCCTTCGGGGTAGCTATCAGTGATTTTGCTAACATCAGCCCCTAGTAGGGCACAAGCTTCGTGGGTTCAACTATGTCCAAATCACTTTCAATCTCCCCATAGACTTACCATGTAACCTGCAAATAGTACTCAAAATATAGACAGAGTATGACACACTTATACGGGCACACCCACGTCAGGGTTCTGTAACTAATTATAACACTGTGGCATGTTCGTATAACCAATATCAGTTTTCCTTCATGTCCAGAGAGAAAGTAGATATCCGAAATACTTTGAAAACCCTGAAGAGTATCGCGCATAGTTTGGTCTTAGACCACAAATAGAGGTTAAAAACTGTCTGAAATAGAGGACAAAGATAATGTTTTCAATTTCTTTATTAGTCGTAAGTGATACAGCTAATTTATGTTTTGCACTGTTTATATATAGAGAGAGAGATGAGTGATGTCTTATAGTCCAAAGCAGAGTTGATCACAACGTAAAATAGTCGCTAGTATGTAAGCATCTTTAGTAGACGTAGGTAAAGTATCTCGATTCTGATGGGGGTTTTTTTTTAAAGAGGAAAATTGTTATGACAAAAACTCAGCGTGATCCAGAAAGGACAGATGCAATTTAAGAGTTGGACATATTTTTTATATTAAAAATTCGTTTTGCCTCTCACAATTAATTACATGTTATATCATCGTATCGTAACTTTGTTGTATCAGAGTGAAAACATACATGTTGCGTATTAAACGTTATGGAGTGATAGTTTTATTAACAAGATATACTTTTTATTCATTTTTTCCGATATATTGTCACAACACAATTGACCAAATGTACGAAGACGATACATTACGTTAACGGACAAATAACATGCTTAACTCAGTTTCACACTTTGACAAAGTATACTAACCACACACACATGGAACATACCTTGGCAGTACACACATACATATTAGAAACAATAGGTAAGGCATATAATATATCATACATCACCCTCAAACACACAAAATTCCACCCCAGTAGAATCGAGTATGGTTTCTTCCTTGTCTTCTATTTAGGGGCAATTGAATAGACCTGTTGCATCCCTTTGCATGTGTATCGAAAAGGCGACTAATGATGGGCCCTATTCAGAATCCAAGGGTTTCTTGTAGCTTCCACAAAGGGGACTTCCCAGCTTTGTCTACCCTAGAGATCCGTCCTCATATCACCCTGACTTACGCGAGGACGTAAAACCTCACAATTGCCACACTCGCATACGTACATGTATCCAAAACCGTGACCGATCTTCAAAACCATTCATTCAACTAACAGGAAGCAAACAAGGATTGTACACAATCATGAGTCTATAATCAATAAACCATATGATAAATACATGATAAGTAACGGTTTAATATGACATAAAGCTGATACCACACTGTAGATTTCTGTGACTCTTCAGTATTACTATCCAATGATCTGATACAGGGAACATTGTCATATCAATTATGCAACTGTAATACATAACTAGATTTAACGTTCGTTCAGAAAAGCTAACAATGAGATCAGGCATCAAATACCAGCAGACGACGAAAACGAAGTCCTTTTACAAAACTTGACAATAGGGATGGGTTTTTTTCAATTTTCAAAATCCTTTGGGAAAACTCGTAGTTTCTTCATCTCCCTGCCTCTTCTTTCATATGTGATGGTGTTTAAGTGGATAGCGTACCCCCTCCCCCAAAAGTGAAACATGGAAGCTGGTAGATTTTGTAAATCATGTGAAAAAGATATAAAGTTTAACTCTTGATCCTTCCATATTTTTGAAAGTTGGCAAATATACTGCAATATGTTTCTAAATACCCACAGAAAAATGCAATACTGAATTTTAGCAAACGCTTCTATAAATTGTTTTATCATGATCTTGTATTCCTCATCATATTGCTGATTGTGTAAGAGTGCCATGACATCAACCATGTACAAAAGGTCCTTATTACTCACTCATACACGTATCTCATTCCATCGTTTCTTGATGTTTTGAGTGTTTTATCGTCGAATAACAAGCCTTTTGAGGGCTTCTTAATATCATGTATCCTACAACGGTTGAAGTAAAAGATGTAATATACCAGTAGTATGACAAAATGTCTGATTCAGCGATAAAAATGATTGAATTTGAAATGATATTAAGAAGTACTTAACGTATCAGCCCTCATGGTTATTGCATTTTCATTTCACTGATATTGCATAACCCATCGAGGTGTAAAGTGGGTTTTTTCAAGATGGATGCAGTAAACCATTTGGATATATTTTCTTCCTGACGTGCTTCAGTCGACGCTGGAGAACATATTGTTGACGTCATCATTAATCGCCAACCTGACATGATTTCATACAGGTGTTAGCGTCCGCAATTACGTCAGGGTTCGGCTGTTCGTGATTCGTGTTCATGTTGTCCACGTCGACGTGGGATTGACCAACTGTGCTATCATAAACTGGATTATCTGAAATACAAGATAAGGTATCTATTTATCTATTTTCTTATTTGTCTCATTATTATTAAAGATAGAGCATGATCAAATGTATGATATTTTCTCTCTCTAATCTGTGATATATTATTTATTCCATTTACAAAAATAAATATTACAATTCAAAGTGTGTCAATTGGCTGAGCTCATTACCATATGGCTAGCATCAGTTCAAATACTTACATCATGGTAAGCTTTGATTAAAATAGCTATCACATAATTAACATTAGTTAAAACAGCTATCACATAATTAACATTAGTTAAAATAGTTATCACATCGTTAACATTAGCTAAAATAGCTATCACATCGGTCGTTTAAGTTAAAATAGTTGTCACGTTTTTCGTATAACTTGAAATAGTTATCACATTGTTAACGATAGGTTAGAGGTTTACATATAATATATACCATGTTTCTAAGAGAAGCATAAAATTATTCAAAAAAAATAAACGAATATTTCTACTTAACTTTATCTATCATGCAACAATAAATGTTATTCGAATGAAAAAAAACAGTAAAGAAGCAAAATTCATATTTACCATGTGCATATGCTTGTCTTTCACTTGGCCTAAAAGGATATGAACAGAACGTTTGGCACGTCAATCTTACAAAATATTATTTAGAAAACATATATTGATATATGTAGAATATACGAAAAAACAATTATATATTTATATTGTCACAATTAAAGTATGATTGAAATAATAAACTGATGTAGTAGTACAAGTTTCTTCAACATCTTGAAATTATATCCATGCAGCGGCAAATAAGAGGTATTTGTTGTAAATTTTTAGCTCACTGGGTCGATCGAGTTTTCCCAATTTTGAATAAACGGAGTGTGTGGCCCATTGGGGACACCCGGCAGGGCCCAATAGGGGAGTATAGTAATAAGTTTTTAAAAGTCTTCTACATCAGTACGATTTTTTAGGCCAAATATGAGAAATGTTCATAAATGTTACAAATTATTCTCTTTCCGTACGAATGGTGTTCTAGCCAACGTTTCGTTTAAAGTATCCTAGGGCAAATTGAAATCAACGTTTTATAGACAGATGGTGTGTTCCCACCCTTAAAGGGTCAGAAGGGTGGGGTCCAAAAGGGAAACATGGTGATAAATGTTTAAAAGTCTTCTACTTTTAGGTGAATGGAGGGAGTTTACCCAAATTCGGTGTATACAAGAATGCAGCATCCTTAGGCAAAGGGAACTCAATTCTTTATGAATGGAAGGAAAGGATTACTTTGAAAATAGAATATATTTAGTTTTTCCTCATGCCTTTCTGCCCATGTTAATTAACTTAAGAAGCGGGCGAAATGCCAAGACTAACTCTTCAGTCGAATTATTAATTTCCGTTTGACATAATGCTTTCAAAATATCTTTTTAAAGTTGAAAGTTCTGTTTCCTTTTCTCACCACCTTAATAAATACAAAATGAGAAATTGCCATCATAATATTACCTTTTCTTTAAACATTCCAGTTTGAAGATTACGACAATGACAGTTATCAACACAACTGCTCCCACTACCGAAAGTACTATCATTAGAATTGTTAGTTTCTGTGTTATCTCCCTTTCCATGATACCCGAAGTTTTGTTTGATATGGCAGTGGAAAGTTCTGCAAAGGAAACAAAACAATAAATAATCATTTCTAGCAAACCTGTACTATGAACTGTTTATGTTGCAGGTATAAACAAAATCTTTGGCGTTAAAAGAAACTATAAGGCACACTTTTCCTTTCTTGTGGATTCTGAGCTGAAGATATGACATCCAAACTGATAATCTGAGTGTTAACCTGACACTAGTGGTGGCTATAGTATATGTAAAACATGGACACAATTCATTGAGGTAAAATTAATTCTTTTTCAATGTTGTATTCTCCATTTATAAACACTGTCGTCACCTACGGGAGGCAAAAGTTAATTAAATACTCCGATACTGAGACGAATCTTTCATAATCAAGAAAACCATTTGTGTTTAACAGAATATTTTCATTTTTTGTTTTAAAATCCATGCAGTATTGAAATTTAGACCACAATTATATGGCGCTGCAGAGTAAAGATAATAATATGATATTTTCAACAAAATAGAAACGTTTTTAGTGATTAACTGAATCAATAATATGCAAAACGATTGTATCTGCTTAATTATTGACAAAATATTTCATTTAATTGATTACGGAAATAACTTTACTTAAAAGTATATTTTTTGTGAAATATATATCTTTTTTTTAATGTTTAAAAAATGAGTGTCTCTAACTCATGTTTTTGAAAGGTAGCCAATAGGTTACTGGTCAACTTGTTGCATATGCCTACTGATGGGAAGAACGTTGACTTGAAAGTAAACTAGAAAGGGAACACAACACCTTTTCCTATGACTTATTACTGTGTGCCGGGATATTTTCACGTGATCGAACTTTTGACTTTCGCCTGGTTAAATCACATTTTATTGTTATGTAAATCATGTTGTTACCTTATGCTCCTGTAATGATAAATTCAGCCTCGTTTCAGAGGGCAAAAAGGCGAAAATAAAACAGCAGCGAAAATTTCCCGGTATACAGTATTCCGTCTTTGCGTATTGCAGAGTTATCTTCTCTTGTGAGCAGGTATTGATTGTTACGTCACTTGTTTGTGAGAGTAACGTCATCACTTTTTGAGAATACGACGTAATTTTCTCACACGAACCAATGACGTAACAATCAATACCTGCTCCCAAGAGAAGATAACTCTGCAATACGCAAAGACGGAATAACATTTATGAAATCTTACCTTTGATGCACTTCCCACTCTCGTTTTTGAAGCCATCACAACAAACGTGTTCTGACCTCCTCTCTGTTACAGTCAAGTTCCTGTATCTTACTGATCTTACCCACCTACAAACCACGAAACATACTCAAAAGATTAACGTATGTGCGAGCAACATATGTTGGTCGATACAGCATTGTAATATGCTTTAAAAATATAAACTGCCTTTAAAATCACTGTCATATGTCGATATATAGTATCTGCAATGTCTGTGTTGTCACTCGCGAGTATATTTCGGCGGGTATTTTTGGCAGCCCTAGTTCAAATTACCGTAGTTTACTGACCAAAACATTCATGGTGGTCTACTTCAGAACTTTAGAGCTTTACTTAGAGATCCACAGTACCATATTCCTTTTTCCATTTTAGAACTTAACTTACTTGTATCCGTCTTTGTTACAATCCTCCGACGAATTCTGACATTTTTTTCTCGTTTCAACCCTGAATGTTATAAATCTTGTTATATTGGATCTGAAAAGAAAAGATTTCTTCGTGCTACATTTCTTAATTAAGCAAATATAAACCATTTGACTTGAAGGTGTGTCTTATTAAACCGTTATCCCTTATTATCTGTATAAATGTGTCATCAATTCATGATATGTCTCTATGCCATATCAGCCTGTCTTGTCAAAAATAACCCTGTTAATCTGAATGGAAACTGCTAAACAAACTAGATCCAAGTTCACCATAATTATTATAGGCAATATGCATCGAAATCAATTGTGGATTTCATATGCTTATTAGAAACATCTTCTTGGAGTATATTAAGTGATCTCTTATGCAAAACACTAGAGAATTGCAATGTAGGTTTTTTTTGTTTATAACAACCTCCCCCTAGGTTTGTTTTATGGTGTATATTTAGCACTCCTGAGCTGTATAGTACTGCCGCTGGCCAGACAGATCAGCTGATTATATCCAGGACTAAAGGTTTTGATTGTTGGGTTACCACCAACAAAATTCAATTAATGAGTAGAATAACTCTGAAATGCATGGAAGATGAACGTATCACACACATACTTGACTGCACCTTTAATTAAACGTTTGGTAATAGATACAGTATGTCAAAAAGTTAAACACACTGCATCATTGCACCATACAACAGTTGCATACTTCTAGGACTCAACGGTGATGCTGGGGACAACACATTTGCAATCCGTATTGGTCTCTACTACTGTTGAAAAGGAGAGAGAGTGCATAAAAAATCAATGATTATATGAATGTTAAGGCAGATATGTGCTGGAATCCTGGGACAGATAGATACCGTGCCGCTTCTTGAATATATATATACGAAATATTAATTTGTAAATCAGCTTACATTACAACTCTCTTGCAGATATTTTCTGACTCCACATCGGTAACAGGTTCGCTGTCTGTATAAGCATCCAGATCATCTTCTTCTGAATCCATCGCAGTTGATAATGAACTCTCATTTGTCAACGTTTGAATGGGATGCTGCGATACCGCTGTTGTTGCCAAGGCGATCATGATTATTGGAAATATCATCTTGTATAAATGCCAGTACCTGCAACAAATGTACACAATCTGTTTCTTACAGTAATAGATCATATTATAACGAGTTATAAAACATGTTGCGAATATCTAAACATGCCCACATATAACCATGTGCAGTTTCTTAAGTATCTGTCATTAGTTTCTCTTAGAAAATTTCTAAACAACATGGCGGGAGGGAAATAATGAAAAATATAAGCTTTTTGATCTTTGGTAAACGATAAGCAAAAGGACAAGCAAAACTCTAAATTTATTCCCCATCCATTCCATACAATTCCATATCACTTAGTAATTTCCATATCCTAATCCATATCAACCCAGGGGCCCAATATCCAAACTTTAATCTAATTATGATGAATAAATTACCCTATTGCAAGGATGAACGTAAAAACTTGTGTATTAAATGGATGAACCTAGGCCACACACATGTGATTGCTCCAATAACATGGTAATAGATGAAGTAGGCTAAAATGACTTGCACTGCACATACAGCCGTTAAGTCCTTCTATGACTCATCGGTGATGCTAGGTACCAAAAAGGTGGAAATCCAAATAGGTAAAAACTACTATTTAAAAACGGTTTATCATATAGTGCACGCTACCGTCAAAACTTATTATTAGCAAATGCGATAGAGACAGCTGTGCTTGTGTCAGTAGTCTTGTTAACTTTGGTGTATGAAGAAATGTATCGATATGAACATGCACACATATCCCTCACTCGACAAAACTCAATCAAAGAAAATTCCCACGTGTCAATAAAACCGTAATTAAACACGTATTTCAAAAAGCAATGGTTCAACGTGAGCAGAGGAAAGAGTTGTAGTGAGACCCTGTGTAAATAAGCTTGGCCTATTGAGGGTAAACGCTTGCCTGTACATATCTAAACGTTTCAAACATGCATGTAAGCAACCATTTACAGTCAATGTTATGATTTGTTGTGCTGATTTCAAACAAATGCGTGACAGACTATGATGTACCCTCTCTGAAAAATTTCTGTGCAGTCAATTATATGCTTATTGACACTCAATTGATCTTTACAGACATATTTATCATATCGTACAACAAATGCGTTTGCTATTGATGATTCGTTTATGTCTGTTACACATTTTTACCTTTTTTATAGTGTAATGTAATATTTTTTGTGAATTCCTGTTTTTAGTGTTGTTTGGCCCTAAATGACAAACATTGTCGATGAGTCGTGAAAGAAAACAATATCACATGGAATCATTTCCAAATAAACCAATGTTTTAATGTCAAGAAAGTATGTCATCAGCTGTGATGTTGCCTTCTGTTGAAATGAAGAGAAGAAATCATTTGATGTTTGCAATGCACCCGCAAAAGAACAGACAACATTTTAGACATACATGTGATAGCACGTTTTTAATTGTGTAATAGAAACTATATGCAAAAAATGAATTGAACTGCACCATCAGCTGACTCTACGGTAATGATGATGTTGGGTCAAAACGGTGAAAGTCTAAACTGATCTAAACTACTGTTGAAGCGTTAAACTCCTTAATTTTGTGAATTTCACAAAATAGAAGAAGGGAACTGGTTAAACTCAAATTTATGATGAGTAAAGTGTATATATTACGAACTCTGTCACTACTGAAAACAGATAACTGTGGTCGTCAAGGTTACGGAAGATTTCGAGGATTTAGAAACCCATCAGCAGAGTCTACTACCGTGTATTTAGAAAGATGAACCGATATGGAGCCTGTAGTGAAAGGAAACGTTATTTTAACAAAACAGTGACATGTTATACATATTTATTACATACTTACTTATAAATACGGGTTTTTTGTATATGCGATACGACACAATTACCCTTACCCATATCAGCCCTCGCCGTATCACACCCCAAAAGCCGTATCAGCCCCCGCCGTATCACACCCCAAAACCCGTATCAGCCCGCAAAACCCGTATCACACCCCTTTTGGAAATTTTTCGTTTTTCAATATTTCAAAAGAAAAATAGATCATAAGAAGGTAGCTTTTATTAGTAAGTATGTAATAAACAGAATAAAACCTGCCTTTTTCCATATCACACCCAGTATCAACCCTCGACCAAAATCAGCCCTCGGGCCTTCGGCCCTTGGGCTGATATTGCAGTCTCGGGTTGATACTGGGTGTGATATGAAAAAAAGACATGTATTATTCTCTATTTATAGATTGTATGTTTTGTTTCTACATAATTGTTCTCAATGATTTAAAGGTCTATTACGACACTTTGAAAATGTTTGATATACGTTTAATTTGCGTTTAAAAGTTAACTGTAATATGTCAACATTTTATTGTTTTATTACATTCAATTATGTAGATTATCGCTTCTAAAATCATATACCCCAAAATGGTTGCTTGTCTCGGAAAATATTTATGAATAGTGAGGCTAGTTTTTCATATAAGTATTGTTTTGCTTGAACAATTCAATCACACATCTTACCTTTTGTTTATGACTCGATCCTAATACTCTAATCAAATCGTCAATTAGGTAACGTCCTGGTCTGTCCTGTCCGCTTTTACCATCAATTCACCCAAGATTAACATATATACGTCCCCCACAAACAATCATATAATACGTTTATGAATCACTTTACTTATATATAAATGACTTACCGGAACTCCAGTGTCAAATTTGAAGTGCGTACAGAGTGCAGTATCTCGTTTTCGCACCAACGAATATAAGTTTAATTATTAACTTAAAGGAAAGACAAACCATTAATATCATTTCGTTTCAAATCAATTCCATATTACCAGTCCATTAATATTCGTTATGTAATGATTTTGAGCACGTGACTTTAAATTAGTTTTAAATGATATGACAATAGTCTGATTTCATGAATGACACTCTATGTTAATAAGACTACAGTATAAAGTACAAGGCATTCTTTATGTTAATGATGTCCATCCTTTGTCACTGCACTGGGGGAAGTCTAATGTATCTTTATGTATATGACAAGCTCTTACGATTAATAAGTGTTTTGTACTTGACATTTAATGTAGTCAAGACACGATACTCTTGTATAGTCAGCATCAACCTCTTGTACCAAGACGAAGACAGATGAGCGAACACAAAATAGCCCTTCAGATGCATATAACGCAAGCATAGTGTAAACAAAAATCATCGATGGTACTTAATTTTAAGTGGCTAGTTTGAAGTATACTACGAAAACCTCGGAATTGTCTGTAGATACTGTAAATAAATCTCACTTTTGAAACCGATGGGTCAAAAGACCAAAGGTAAGAAAGAACTTGAACTGGAACCACAACTTTTTGAAATTTCGTGTGTTCTTACTAAATTTACGCCGTTCATATGTAAATACCAGTAACCGGCATGCGTTCATAACCGCATCAATATTGACAAAAAGTAATATAAACAAAAATATGTTTCCTAATAATTGCGGTATTGTAGTGTCTGTACCGTCAGTGAAAATAATATTTCTGTAACAGCCTAACATCATCTACCTATATATAAAAAAAAATATGGAACAATGACTTTACAATGACTAAAACAAGGCATCACGTTAGTTGTTCGAAAAAGTTATGATATGAAGTGTCCTAATTAAATCTAGTCAAACATATGTACATAATATACAAACATGGTTGTTATCATGGATGAAACGTGGATTAGGCTATTCCGTCTTTGCGTATTGCAGAGTTATCTTCTCTTGGGAGCAGGTATTGATTGTTACGTCACTTGTTTGTGAGAGTAACGTCATCAATTTTTGAGAAAACGACGTAATTTTCTCACACAGAATAATGACGTAACAATCAATACCTGCTACCAAGAGAAGAAAACTCTGCAATACGCAAAGACGGGATATGCACGTAGGAAGACATTCAGCCTGAGCAATACAGTTGTTAAAGGGCTGGTCAAGCGCACCCCAACCTGGCGCACACTACAAAGTGAAAATAGACCTTGAGAACTGACTTTTTTTTAAGAATCAGAAAGTAAATTAATATTTCAAATAACGTTGATAATATTTTTACAAGAAACTGAAAATGCTTAAATCCAAAAATGATATACAATATCATCAATACACTGGCAGAGCCAAACCTATATTAAATTGAAAAGATAACAACAAAAACTAAGATGGCTCCACACAGTTCACAGGAAAGTTAAGCTGATCCTGAACCACATGTGGCACCCCTCAGTATATCTTCTGTCGCATCTAGGAAACTATTTGGGCCATCAGAGCTCTAATACACTACACTACACTTTAATCATTGCAGTCTGAAAGTACATGTCTGGAAATCAAATCAAGGCGATGGCAGCAAAATTCCCTATGTGAAGCTTATTTTGTTAAAAATCCTGCTTAATGAGTTGTAACTTTGCCAACAGGAGGCATCTATTTCATCCTCATCATACAAGTCTGTCGATAAACGTGTTTTGTCTGAACCCCTGGAATTTAGTCACGACAAATTCAAATGCTCGTAATAACCGATTTGATTGATGTCAGGTATAAAACCTGACCAATCGCTACTAGGCTAATACTGTCCTTTGAAGTTTACAGATGAGCTACACCAAACTTAAAACCTGTCGATTTTACAGTTAAGCTGCCGCGCGATTCGTGTAATTCCCTGCAACGTGTCGCGTATATATAGCTTTTAATTTTGCTGTAACATAGTAAAAGGGTACAGAGAAGATATATTGTATTGAGATCGGAATTCTTTGTTTTCAAGGATGCATCTATCTAGAAAATTCCAGTACTAATATCTCAAACAGGGTCAGAAAAAAATGTCAATACCAGCAAGTTGGCCAGTGTGAAGCATGCAAGAAAGGAAAATGATATTTCCTAGACATAAACATCAGTGCGGGTAGATATTGCACACTCGTATCATAAAAACTTTCGCTTATTAATCAGTGAAGACCAGCCTCCCTGCGTAGAATGTTAACCATTTACAATAAAAACACTTATTAGATTGTGTTGACCTTTAGAGTATTTGAGAACGTTTCTGTTATAATGTTACATGTCTTAAATCTCTTTCCGAAACAATAAGTATCCCTACAATTTAAAACTATTTAAAAGCTGTTGGTCTGATAAAAAATACATGAGTCACCGTATACACTTTAAATACTCATTTCCGTTTGTTTGATGTCCTTTTCATTTAACATTTGCTTTTATCGACCAGGTATTGACCCTAGTGATCTTTCCTGTGTTGATGGGCCGACAAGGACGTAATACTAATAATTTAAGCACATTCAATCTTCACATGTTGTTTGTGCGTGATATATGTTAAGATATTCCAGACACTCACTTTAGTTGTACTAACACAGTCCCTCCGAAAAGGAGAAATTTGAGAACGGCCAAACTAATCACAGAAAAACAGTAATTGAATTTTACCACAGTTAGCCCTGTTTATAGACTCCTAGATCATACATAAAATGACAGAATTGGAAAAATACCGAATGTATGCTTTTAAAAATACTATAAAAGTGTGTGCTCTTGTTTTTACGATTTAGGATCATTTTCTACATTATTTAGTTTAAGTTGATGAAAAATATGCATCCCCCTTTTGCTTCTCTTTCTCGGATATATCGTTACATATGCAAATTCAATTAACAATTTAGACATGTTTTATTCCAAACAGGTTCCTTTAGGTTTAAAATATTTAAATGCAGGAAAGGTGCATTTCCTCACCTCACTGAATTATTGGTAGCCATTGAAGTCACTTGGTAATGTTTAGTCACCATCAATACAAATGTGTGGCCCTGTAATCGCATGGGAATGAGAAAATGAAACCAATGCCATTCCATGTGTATTTTGGCCCATTTTATTTAAATAAATAAAAATCGAAAGAATACTATCGTGCGCAATCGTAAAAATGGTCATTTAAAAAGCTAAAATCTAATTGAAATTCAAATCAATAGATAAAAGTATAACCTAAGATAGACAAACAAACAATAATGATTTGTGGAAATTCTATTTATATTGTTATCAACTGTATGGAAATGAAGCAGACAGGCAGTTGAGTACATGAGGTAAAACTATTTATTAGCCTGTTAGTTAAGTCCCTATACCACTCGCCGATCGCTTCCATCCGCGCAGAGTTTCTTGAGTGCGTTTTTCCTACATACTTCCTGTATTGTCATACGTATTGGATCAAGTTCACGTTTGTTGTTCCTAATTTGTACTCATTCTGAGCTGATTCATCCCCGTCGTGTCTCCAAGTCTATATATGTTGGCGTCAAACACTCCCAGTGTACTGATGCTTAGCAAGAACATAAAGTCTTTATTTATCACCGCTTATAAAACGTTCCATGGCATGAACAGAAGACATTGAAGAAATCTATAGTTTCCCACTCTGGTAAGTACCGGTTTGATTGCAAAAGTCGTACTGCAGTAAATATTCGCTATATCTATTTAATGAAATGAAAATTGTGACTTTAATGTAAGTAGGAATACATATCTATCCACTAATTCCCATCATATATCTGCAATTGAGGTGTTATTCATTGAAATTAAATAAACTTTTAATATGCCTTTAATTTTTAATCAATAGTTTAGGTGTTATTTAAATGAAATTCAAATTAATGTATGTAACATTGATTATTTATCAATATTAACAGTACTGACAGTAGACAAAAAAAGCTTCGCAAATATCTTGTTTATTAATGCCGATAACTTTGATTTTATGGAAATGAATATTTGAAGCACTTCAATCTTCTATGAAGTGATAGGAAGGCATTTTCTCGCAACGAAGTCGCAGTTTAACGTTACATTGTAGAACAACCTTACGGTTGTTATTAATCTCCACCTCTAAAAAAATATATTATTCGTAAAATAAAATCATAGATCTCACTTACTTTGGGAGCGAACATTAGCAAGACTGAAATATGCTTTTAATAACAAGTTAAACTATATTATCAACATGGTCATTATTGTGAAATATTTGTTTAAGTCCTTTTTAAATGAAGTATTTCATAAAAATCACATGAGAAATACATTATTTGACATGGAAAATTGCTCTTAAGCCAGAATAAACTTTTCGTTGCTTAAACAGGGAACTCGTCTATGCGATTATACACGTAACTGGTGCAGTGATACCATCTACCTAACAGATCGAATAGTTTGGATATTAACGGCTAATTGCTTTGGTAGAGCTTTAATCATCTCGTTCTCCTGCAAACGAGCCGATTTACACTATCTATTATAATGTCGATATAATTCCATTAGAAATAACTACTTTATTGACGTTTATTTGAATTGCATTCTGAATTGTTTACTAATATATGATCCCGGAACCGGGTCTTATTAAAATTGTGATCAAATGCATATTACGAAGTATTTTATTTATAATTGAAGTATTTTGACAAACAATATGAAATGCCTCTACGTGAAATAGACTAAAGCAGCGATGAAGTATCTGAGGCCAGAGTTAGCCACGCTGTTGTTGATATACCTACTAAAGCTAACAGACGCACAGTCAGCATGCCCAGACGACCAAATCAGGTAGGCATAGTTGATTCTACAGTCAATCAAGAATTTACAAATGTATATATATATAACTTGTTCACGTTTTTCTATTGGTCAGTTAAGAAAACAATTTTATTTTTCAAACGTTATAGTCTGATGGACGATTTCGAATTCTCCAGCATCATGAAAACAATTGATTGACTGCTTTTTTGGTTTACTGCTTTGTGTTGTATCTTCTGTAAAATTGGCAATACGATACTTTCTGTTTAATAAAATAATTTTCACATAGGTTTTGGTTTTAATGTGCTTAAATTATTCGCACAGCAACACGCGCGGGATGGAAAAGTTTGAGTAGAGCCAACAAGGTGCCCATTTTAAACGTTCATGACTTGGCTTCGATATGGCTTTTCGTGAGAGTTTTCGAAATCGTTCATTGAGGCAGAGTATGGACCATAAGCCAGATAATAGAAAAGTGTTGTCATTTAAACAGGTCACGTTCGGCTTACAGTAGAGAACAATGGAATTTAAAATAGATAATCATTTATAGCACAATTAGCTGGTCTAGTTTTTGGGAATCATGTATGTACAAATATTTTAGATTATAACTAGCCACAATGTCCAATCATTTATGTATTTATTTCATAGCATTAATCCAGTTATGAATAAATTGTCACACATTGTTTCAATGAAGTTACAACTTACATGCATTTGAATAAGCTACACAACTTTGTTTACCCTGTTAAAGCAAATTGTCCCTTATAGCAAGTTTGAAAATAACGAACGTACAAAATTTTGAGTTACAAATTGGTAATGATTAATTTACAAAAAATATTTAAAGTAGAGAATTTTTCACGTGGAGGATAAAAAAGAGGATTCATGAAGTGTTGCATTTATTTATTTGCAGAATATATGTGTTAATTAACAAAATCCGGTTTACCTGTTGCGTTCCACGTGCAGTTAGAACGGTCGCACGATGTACTAAAAGTAAGTACTCGTTTTGTGCATTGAACTACTTTCAAATGACATTTAAATTAAATCTCAATGGAGGGAAACCATTTATTTAGAGATCTCCGTACCACTGCCAAACACTCTAATAACGCATTGAACACTTTTTTTGGGGGGGAGGGGGGGGGGGGGGGGTTTAANCAATCATTTCTAAAAAGAAAACCAACCCTTACGGGGAAAATAATAAATATGACATAAACAAAATATATCAACAACAGTGTTGCAGCTGATCTAGACCGGAATTGGAACCCTTGACTTCAGACTGTTATACTGCCGCTCTGACCTACTACTGAGCTACCTGGTCAACGGAAGTGGCCTGACCCAACTGTGCTACAGTTATATCCAAAACGAAAATAAGGGGATTACAGTATATACTAATATAAACTATGCGGAAGAACTTCTTTAAAGAAATACTCATATTGTTGAATAGGAATGACTGACATAAGTGTGACTCCTGCACACCCTACAAATCCCCTTTTACAATTGTAACTGGTTGGGATAAATGAAAGGGGTAATCAGTCCAAATATGTATATCCTTCTAGTGCATGTGTATTTATCGTGACATACATAGCCTAATAAACCTTTGACCTGTGTTGCGGGGTATGATTCAGAACAGTCACGGCCACTGTGTCTGTTTCTCCTTGTATATATATATCTGGTCGAGAGAATGAAGGTATACATAATACCCTCTAAAAGCTCCATATTATGGTGTTATCTGATTTTTGTGATTTAACTTACAAACATTTTAGTTATTATTCTGTCAATGTTAGATGTGAGACATTGCGGATCATACTTCCACATAATTTATTTGAAAACATAATAATTTCTTAAAAGAAACACATACATTGCACAATTTTCATGGGGGAAAAAAAGAAACAAATAAACAAACAAAAAGAATCAATAACAATGTGCTGAGTGTAATAATGACACGGAGCCAGACCAGGATTCGCACCCTGGTTCTGTTCATTATACTGTCAATTGACCCAATTGCGCTTCCTGATCAACGGTAAATATAATGCCAAGACAAGCTAGAGATTCATCCAAAACCAAATTAAGGAGAGGTTACTTCATATACGAAAACTAAAGCTGTGTTTTGCCTGCATTGAGACAGGGATCCTTAAAACTAAAGCCATTATCTTAATATATATTTTCAGCTGGCGGTTATGTCACCGTAACCACTACTCCACCCATGACTACACTTAGACTGATTACAAAAGACCAAACATTTATTACTAGACCTATAGTGACTGCAAACATCCTTTCCACGCTCAAACAAACCACTACTACTAATACACCTACAATGACCACCCAAACCACGCAAACCACACCAACCACCATCACAACAATCCCAGAAACCACTACTTCCGGAAACGACGAAGACGAGGGGTCAGGTGATGAGACCAACCTAGGTAACGTAGGGGAAGGACAGGACGAGCCGGACAGTGCCTCGACCGGGCTGTCTATAGGGATACCCCTGGCTGTACTAGCGGTTGTCGTTGCGGCAGTACTGCTAGTAAGGGTCAGGTACAAAAGAAAGAAGGAAGTCAATGGGTGAGTACATGTTACACACCGTGCATGTTTAGGGACAGAATAGGCCTACTGTATCCCACTATATGATCGTAGGAGGCGACTCATGTGGACCCCCACCAGAATCGGGGGGTTCTCTTCCTTGTCTACCATTTATGGAAAATTCAGAAACCAAAAATAAACCTGCTGGTCGTTTATCTTTCCTGTCTTCTTTCTCTCCTACCTTTCTCTTTAAGAGGGTTCTCCCTAAGCACCTGTCCTTATATGACCCTGACTGTTGCAAGGACGTTAAACCACGAACAAACAAGAAGAGGTTGCCACAATAAAACCCTACCAAACTGATATTGCATTTTTATAAGTGCCATTGTTGTAACATTGGATACCACTGTTCATCCATCTAAAACCGGTTAATACAAGCATTGAACTGTACTGATATGACATTTAAAGTCTGTGTGAATGACGCAGCTTTGCAGGCAAACTGTATCATGCGCTGCATACCTGCAAAGATGTCAATCATCTAAATTGTGAAAGTCATATCAACAAAGTTCATAACTTAATTAACTCTCTATTGCTAGTATGTATCTAAAAAGGACCACGATGAGCAAGATAGCACACAGAGGTTGTTCAGTTTTTAAGGCTTTATGTGATAATTTACAAAAAAAACAAATCTGCACAATTGATGTTTATTCCGAAATCCTTGATTGTACTATAGAGGTGACCTTTCGTGTATTTTCGCCGTCCGACGAAGCCACTCAAAGCATTTCACAGACATTTTGCTAACATGTCTACTTCAATGTTGTCTTTCGCTAACTAATGCTTTACTAAATACAATACTAACAGGGAGAAATATTGATAAATAGCTATACTTAAAATCTAGAGGAAAACGCAATAGTACTAATTAATATCATTTTCTGACCATATACCGCTCTAGGTAGCTTACCAATTAGTGATATCCCTATGTTACAGTAGGCATATATGGATGAAACGGTAATGCTGTTTCTGATAAATTTGAATGAATTGTGATACATTTACCGATTGTTTTCCAGGGATACAAACAAACTGACAGCTAACGGTCGGGTATTCGTCAAACACCCGAAGGGAGACAACAGTGCCGCAAATGATGGTGAGTTGGTTCTTATTGTTGTGTATTTTGCAGACCCATGGAACGTCCGAGGAAAATATAGAACATAGATGAGAATATAGAACATAGTCAGCTATGTAATACCATATTGAAAGTATGCAATAAAAACAACCTACAAATTGCCGAAGAAATTTATATTATCGAAGTTTATCTTCTACAATTCAATTACATATATGTAGGCATGCTTAATATTCGCACTATCGATATATGTTTTTACATATTACGTATTTCTTATTCATCCCTAGCCCGAACTTTCTCTGGCCCTGACACCCTGACTGTCAAAATGTGTAAGTCTGGTGCTAGGGCCAGAGGAACATCTATCTGTTAAAATGTCTAGGTCTGGTGTTAGGGTCAGAGGAACATCTATCTGTTAAAATGCCTAGGTCTGGTGTTAGGGCCAGAGGAACATCTGTCTGTCAAAATGTCTATGTCTTGTGTTAGGGCCAGAGGAACATCTATCTGTCAACATGGCTATGTCTTGTGTTAGGGCCAGAGGAACATCTATCTGTCAAAATGTCTAGGTCTGGTGTTAGGGCCAGAGGAACATCTATCTGTCAAAATGTCTATGTCTTGTGTTAGGGCCAGAGGAACATCTATCTGTCAAAATGTCTAGGTCTGGTGTCAGGGCCAGAGGAACATCTATCTGTCAAAATGTCTATGTCTTGTGTTAGGGCCAGAGGAACATCTATCTGTTAAAATGTCTAGGGCTGGTGTTAGGGCCAGAGGACCATCTATCTGTCAAAATGTCTAGGTCTGGTGATAGGGTCAGAGGAACATCTATCTGTCAAAATGTCTGGGTCTGGTGTCAGGGCCAGAGGAACATCTACCTGTTAAAATGTCTGTCTTGTGTTAGGGTCAGAGGACCATCTATCTGTCAAAATGTCTAGGTCTGGGGTCAGGGCCAGAGGAACATCTATCTGTCAACATGGCTATGTCTTGTGTTAGGGCCAGAGGAACATCTATCTGGCAAAATGTCTAGGACTGGTGTCAGGGCCAGAGGAACATCTATCTGTAAAAATGTCTAGGTCTGGTGTTAGGGTCAGAGGACCATCTATCTGTCAAAATGTCTAGGTCTGGTGTTAGGGCCAGAGGACCAGCTATCTGTCAAAATGTCTAGGTCTGGTGTCATGGCCAGAGGAACATCTATCTGTTAAAATGTCTAGGTCTGGGGTTAGGGCCAGAGGAACATCTATCTGTCAAAAGGTCTAGGTCTGGTGTTATTGCCAGAGGAACGTCTATCTGTCAAAATGTCTAGGACTGGTGTCAGGGCCAGCGGAACATCTATCTGTCAAAATGTCTAGGTGTGGTGTTAGGGCCAGAGGAACATCTATCTGGCAAAATGTCTAGGACTGGTGTCAGGGCCAGAGGAACATCTATCTGTCAAAATGTCTGGGTCTGGTGTCAGGGCCAGAGGAACATCTACCTGTTAAAATCTCTGTCTTGTGTTAGGGTCAGAGGACCATCTATCTGTCAAAATGTCTAGGTCTGGTGTCGGGGCCAGAGGAACATCTATCTGTCAAAATGTCTAGGACTGGTGTCAGGGCCAGCGGAACATCTATCTGTCAAAATGTCTAGGTGTGGTGTTAGGGCCAGAGGAACATCTATCTGGCAAAATGTCTAGGACTGGTGTCAGGGCCAGAGGAACATCTATCTGTAAAAATGTCTAGGTCTGGTGTTAGGGTCAGAGGACCATCTATCTGTCAAAATGTCTAGGTCTGGGGTCAGGGCCAGAGGAACATCTATCTGTCAACATGGCTATGTCTTGTGTTAGGGCCAGAGGAACATCTATCTGGCAAAATGTCTAGGACTGGTGTCAGGGCCAGCGGAACATCTATCTGTCAAAATGTCTAGGTGTGGTGTTAGGGCCAGAGGAACATCTATCTGGCAAAATGTCTAGGACTGGTGTCAGGGCCAGCGGAACATCTATCTGTCAAAATGTCTAGGTGTGGTGTTAGGGCCAGAGGAACATCTATCTGGCAAAATGTCTAGGACTGGTGTCAGGGCCAGAGGAACATCTATCTGTTAAAATGTCTAGGTCTGGTGTCAGGGCCAGAGGAACATCTACCTGTCAAAATGTCTAGGTCTGGTGTCATAGGCAAAGGAAACCCGGGCTCATTCATCCTATCATATGGATTTCACTGAAATTGACAATCATTTTTTGCACATTTGAAGAATTACTCGCTATAGTCACAAAGTATTATTCTGAGGCAATATCAGTATATGACTGTCATACCACTTCACGGCTTTGGACACAGTGCTGACGTACTTGACCTATAACCTGTATTAACCCCTGTAGCGATGGCTAAAGTCTCTCATCTCTGGTATGTGTGATGCAGTCGCATCTTTTTTGAAGCCATACCATTGTTTTTGCATTTTGATTTTGATATTTCATTCAAATGTTTATAGAAATATATAAAGATCATGCATGAAATTCTGTTTTGTTTTACATATACTACGCTAACACTATCACACATTTTGTTTTCATTTTAGAGGATATATATATGGGTCTTCAAATGTCTTTCGTATTAATTTCAGCCGAGTATCAAGATTTTGAGCAGAACGTGCGCACTTCTCCACCGCAGGATACCTATGACAGTCTCCATCTCTATGGAAATACGGCTGAAACGCCTCATGCGTATGAACAAGTACCCGAAAAACGGGACACGCTCCCTTACGAGTCTTTGCACGTATACAGCAACTCCCATATGGGACAGCCGGACTACGATACTCCCACGTCTCGCGTTATGTACGCAAACCTGAAAGTTCAGTTTCAAACGTGAAATCCTGTATGTATGCGTGTTCAAACTTGCCTTCACAGAGAGTATACGTGTTAAAACAGTTTGTAATAAATCACGTTTGGAAGGGAAACGTCTCAGGAAAACTTGCAGTAAATCCCGTTCATTCTCGAAAGGGAACGTTCTTTGGGAAATACTCTAAATCAGATCATTTCCGAAGAGTTCGTTTGCGAACAATTACTGTGAATCAGTTCATATTCGGATGGAAACGTCTTTGGGAAAAATACTGTAATCTCTGTTCATTTTCAAAGGGGAAACGTGTGTGGAAATATAGAGAATCACATCTATTTTCGAAGGGGATACGTCTGTGGAAATTGCTAATATCAGTTAACTTTCGCGCATCATCGCGTATTCTGTATATGATCCGTAGTAAGATTGTTTTGAAACACGGTTATCACCGAACATGTGCTATATGGTAAGTTAGTCATTTGCTAAAATGTGAGTTAACAATATACTAAAATGCGAGTTAGCGATATACTCAAATGTGAGTGAGCGATTTACTAAAATGTGAGTAAGCGATATCCTAAAATCTGAGTTAGTAATATACTTTAATGCGAGTTTGCGATACGCTAAAATGTGAGATACAAATGTAGCTATATACTATAATGTGTATTAGTGATATACTAAAATGGGAGTTAGCGATATACTAAAATGTGGGAAAGTTACAATTTTGTATATACTACAATGTGTATTAGTGATATACTAAAACGTGAGTTAGCGATATACTAAAATGCGAGTTGACTATATACTATAATGGGGTGCTATAATGTGAGTTAGCTATTACTATAATGTGAGTTAGCGGTAATACGTATACTAAAATGTGAGTTAGCTATATACTATAATGTGACTTAGCAATATACTATAATGTGAGATAGCAATATACTATCATGCGAGTTAGCAATATACTATAATGTGAGTTAGCTATTACTATAATGTGAGTTAGCAATATACTGTAATGTGAGTTAGCTATTACTTTAAGGTGAGTTAACGATATACTATAATGTGATTTAGCTATATACTTTAATGTGAGTTAGCGATATACTTTAATGTGAGTTAGCAATGTACTAAAATGTGAGTTAGCTATTACTGTAATGTGAGTTAGCGATATACTAAAATGTGAGATATAAATGTAGCTATATTCTATAATGCGAGTTAGCTATAACTATTATGTGAGTTAGCGATATGCTAAAATGTGAGCTAGCAATATGCTAAAATCGTGAGTTGGCGATAAACTAAAATGTGAGTTGGCGATAAACTAAAACGTGAATTAGCGATATACTTTTCAAGTGAATTAGCTTTATACTTTAATGAGAGTAAGCAATAAACTATGACACGAGTAATCAATATTCTGTTTGAATCAGGGATTTACTATGATGTTAATGAACTTAAACATGTTTACCTCGCAACGTATATATCAATGCCTTTTGTATTTTAATGGTATATTGTATAGTGACGTGAATTGTATAGTTATATTTCAGTGTTGCATGGAATACTGACATATTATCAACTTGACAAAGGTTTTTAATTTGTTTACAAAGTTGGCTACCTACGCAGTTACACATTCGCCAGTGGCTTTTAAAGCGAGTTTGACTTGTCTGCAAAAAATAAGATGCACATTAAACAATGCTTCCATCAGACTGTGGATTTTGAAATCACAACTACATGGCATTACAATTTAGTCTTCAATGTTTTAAGAAAATTAGTCCATAAATTAGAAATGTCCCCAAAGCATATTAAATTGCGACATAAAAAAGGCATATCAAAAACGCACAATTCTGAAAGGATGTACCGTATGATATATAATTTTCTCTCATACCAACCACCAGAATAAGCTCAGACCCACGAAAATGCGTTTGGACTTGCCACTGGCTAGATTTAGCATATTCCATATTGGCAAACAGAGTTTGCGCAGGAAAATTAATCACATCTCCCTAGGACGTTTACGGTAAATACGTATATCGTAAAAGGTTTTTAAATTCTTCACATCGCCTTTTCGGCATTGCGCCATCGGAGTGTTCCAAATTCGTGACGTTATTGTCCAGCCATTGTGACATCACGGCACGTGAAATGGGGTGTAAAAAAGAAATGCCCTACACCCCTTTCTTACCCTGGACAGCTCTATCTTACACGCAGGGAAATGAAAGAAAATACTCTTTCATGCTTAGGGGTGTAGGATAGGGAAATTCCACCCCGAGGATTTTCAAATTTGGCAAAACCAAATTTGAAAACCCCTCGGGTGAAATTTCCCTTTCCTATACCCCATGAGCATGAAAGAGTCTTATAATAATGCATGTGACCCCATAAGACTGGCATACAAAAATTAAGAGAGAACAATTTTCCTAAAAAAATAACAGGCCAAATAAAATGAAAATATTCTAATATTTTATTGTTTGCAAAAATATACAAAATATGCATACATATATATTTCTCTATAAAACCTCGCATATTTAAGTAAATAATAGCACACCTTTCTAAAAAAATTGCATCAAGTCTCAACATGTATATGATTTACCTATACAAACATACGAAAGTAATGTATTATAAATGTAACTTAAGTGGATATATTTTTAAGCGTTTGCTGGCATGCTAATTTAGGTACAAAATTGAAACTTGACATGTTGTTATGATGTAAACAACTGTTAACCTATATACTTCTCCAGATGATAATAGAAAGCAGGCGTGCTTGACTTATCCTAGTGACTTAATATAATTAAAGTAACATTGAGACATATTTAAGTAATTATAAAGCACAAGCTGATTGACCTTTGCTATGGGCTATGTCTGTAGGTAGATAAAGATAATATATGACCACCCTTTAATAATAATAAGTATAATAATTTGAGGTTCTTATATACCGCTTTATCACAACCTAGTTCGTCTTATAGTGGTTCACAAATTATTATACGTGGTAATAGGGCCTTTGCAACCAGCCAATATCTTTCTCAACTCCCTGGGGAGCATTTAATGGCATCTATTGGTCATGAACATGCTCATGATATAGCTGTGGGGCACTTTCATAATGATATAACGGTGCCTTCTTATTATATAAACAGTCAAACCTTGATATAATGCAACTCATTCCATTTGCAACCTTGCCTACCACCAACTTGCTTCACTGTCCAATTTTCTCTCTTTTTAAGAATTTCTGTACAAGTTTCCCTCGATTAATCGCCAAACATGTTTATAACACCAAAATTCCTTGGGGCAAATCATGACAGCATAATAAGGTTATACTGTAAATTATATGATGGCCATGACAGTATTATTAACATCAGAACCCTGTGGTTACCTGAAATGCACTGATGCAATACAGGAAATAGTATTTGTGCAAATATGCCATACATTCATACGCATCGTACAGTGCTCCAGAAGTTGATTACATTCATGAAAGTTCATTAACATTTATATTATTGATCAGTTCATGAAGTTATGAAATATTTATATGATAAATATGGTGGAAAGTTTTCTAAATAAAGTATCAACCATCCAAAAAGAGTGTCTTAAAGGTATTTCATTGGTCCTATTTCATGTATGTATCTATTTTGTTAAAGAAGCAAAATTCGTCTAATACAGGGTATATATATGCAACTACTTCATCGACGGAGATATTGACAGAAACAGTTCAGAATGAGTGGCAAGAATGGTGTGTCAACATTTTGTTTATAGTTTTGTTTACGATTTTGTTAAACTTTTATTTACACCTTTGTTGCCTCAATTATCTCTCGATGCCGGATAACGACTTACAGATTCATATATGATCATCATTCTTACACTCATTATCACATAAGGTCAACAGTGGCCTTACATTGGTGACCACACACAGCCAATCAAATCTTCATGTCAGGTTACCATAGTGAGCAGTCAGTCCCAGTTCATCACATGTATCGGTACTTTTTCTCTTTTCTTATAAAGTATATCAGTACTATCGGCATTATAATCAGGAACAACTGCAAAAAGAAACCCGAACATTACCTTCAGATGTCTCAAAAAAATAGAAACCCGAACATTAACTTCAGATGTCTCAAAATAATAGAAACCCGAACATCACCTTCAGATGTCTCAAAATAACAGAAACCCGAACATTACCTTCAGATGTCTCAAAATAATCATATTAAAGCAATACAAGTTTTGACTATTCCATTTTTACATAAATCCTATGATCTATACAAATATATTTATGTATTACGAGAAAAACATGTTTATAGTCTTGCATTTAAAGACAAAATATAGTAATATTTACAGGTTATTTATGATTGTTGAGTGTTATTTTTGTCCTTCACATATAATTAATACTATATACAGTATTCTTTGTACTATTCACTGTCGCGATAAATTTGCAATCATCTCAGTGAAAATTTTCCAGTATACATTGTTTTTTAATTATAGATACATATTTAAACACTTTTAAAAAATATGTGTATCATTTTATTTTAGTTTATAAATACAAGGTTTACTACCCAAAGGAGCTGACTATGAATCAAATGACATTACAAATTTCTATGAATAGAATGAATCATCCTTGATACTCCAGGGGTTACACTCACTTACGCTCTCTTCAACCCTGGAATATGTCATAGCAAAATTGAAGACTCAGTGTACACCACCTTTTAGACGAGACAAGAAGACTAGTTCAATCCTTTGATGTACATCAAAATAATCTTGTGGTCACGTAACGGTAAAACTTATTGGCTTTGAAGTCGGGTGTCGCTCCTTTGTAGGTAGCAGTCTAGCGATTGGTCAGGTGTTTTTTTACCCGAGACCAATCAAACAGCTATCTTTGTGCCTTCAGTTTTGATATGACCTATTCCAGGGGTGCAGAGAACGAAAGTGAGCGTAACCCCAGAAGTATGGCGGATGAGAATTAGTAAAATGACTTTTGTACCTGCAGTACAGCTTCAATCACAGCCACAAGGACGATAGTTAAGTAGTTCATCTCCAGCCACTCCTTAGCATCCGCAAAACAACCCTGAAATACCAAACACAAAAGTTGCTTTTACATCCTCAAAACAGCTAGGCTATACAAAACATGTGAATGCTTTTCTCAACACCCTGAAAATACAGCCCTGAAATATGGAGCATGTGGATGACTTTCCTTTTACAACCTCAAAACAGGCTTGCATAGCAAATACATGTATGGTGTTTTTATCATCTTCAAAACTGCCTGAATTTTTAAAGTAATTTTTTTTCTGTACAAATATTCTCAAGTTCAGTAAGGTAGCTAGCACTTCCCATCAGAACTGCACTATAACAAGAAGGCAAATTCCTCGAACTCGCATTACTCCAATACCCCTTGTTCGTCAAATGGTTTGCTTGGTCCTGACCGTGTCTTATATATCCTTCGTAAATAAACTTTGGATTGATGGAACTATTATTGTTCGAAATAATACCCTGTGTTCCTCAAACTCTGATTTATCCCTGACCACTCAAAACCTTAGCATCTGAGGTTATAAAGACGAGGTATAAAAATATATCTTATTAAGTGTTGCCATCTTTGTTAAACTTATTTTTTACTTCTATCATCTATATTTGAGACATTTGCAGTGCTTGTGCTATCTGTCGTCCCACCTGATCAAAACATGATGATGTCATATGTACCTCGGATTCCTCAAATATCATGTCTTCCTGGAACTGCTGATCTGGACACCCCACAAGCTCCAGTTAATGTCTTACAGTATAACAAAGCTCAGTAATCTACATCTTTTAACTCATACACCCCTGAAGACACATTTGAACTCTTCAAATTCAAAGGTTGGAATAGTCCATTATGAAATTTCAGGGTTTTTTTATGTGGATATCTACCATATACATTGGAGACGAAGCAACCAAAAAGACTTTTTCCTGGCTTTGAGTAGCTTTCCCTATCAACTTATGCATCATTCAAAGTCCTTTTAATTTCATACATTTTGCAGCCCATAAACTAGACCTCTCATTTTGGTGCAGGTGTCTTATTTTAATTTATATACACATTTTATTTTAAAGTATCTGCTGTACTTACAATAGTCCATGCCACCTGTGTCCCAGTTGTGCCACAGTTTTCAAAGCCACAGCAGGAGTCTGGAATCCAGGTTGGATTTCTGGGGTCAAACACATTATTCCAATCTGTGGCATTGTGTACACCACAGCATTCATACTACAAGAAAGAATAAGAAGTGAAGAAAGTAAAATCTAATCTGTATCATAGGTTTTGCAAAATGAGTCCATTCCAACGTTAATTACTCATAAGGAATAAATGGAAGTTCAGATAAATCTCTGATGTGTTGTGAAAAAATTGTCCAACCTCCATACATTACAGGTCACAAAGAAAATAAGAAAAAAATTGGATACATTTGGGGCTGATTTCAGTACTTTCCCTTTGACAATTTAAGCTGTATTTTCATATCTCCCCAAATAATCAAAAATTTGCACAAATATTTCCTTTATCTTTTTTTTTTAAAGATTATCAAAGTGTCTACATATGCCCTTCATCAACATCAAATAAAATTTCAGTAAATTTAGTTAATTACAGTCAATTAATACATTTCCAAATATTCTGTTAATTGTTAACATTTTGAGAAAATAGACATATTTTTCTGGTTTTGTGAAAATACTGACACCTTTCCCCACTACAAATGGTAAAGCCCCCTTGTGGAAAGATGTAAGAAAAAACACTGACATTAGCATTTTCCAAACTACATCTCAAGTATAATGGGGTTTTTCGTTTTTGTCAGTACAGTCGAACCTCGTTATCTCAAACTCTTTTAACTCGAAGACCCTGTTTATCTTGAAGTATATCTCCGGTCAAATCTCTTCTTTATCTTATTAAATAAAACTCTGATAAGTTGAACCCAGAAAAGTCGAAAAACTTGGATACCTTGAAGTAAGATATTGGTTTTAATAGCTTAAATCCAACATCAAAACATTGTCTACTTCATAGTGTTCAAATTTCATTTTGTCACTTATTAATTTTTTGACATCTCTCCATTCTGGGTAAACTTTTGAACATCTTTCACGAGTAAACTAAATCAGTAAAAAGAATTTACGATAAAGCATCAGATTGTAAAGTGTGCGGACTGTCAAAACCATGTTGTTTAAAATAAACAAATGGCCCAGAGGGCCTGTATCGCTCACCTGAATATTTAAGCAGTCATAACTAAATATTCTCATTAAATATGATCCTGTACTACAAATATTTCACTCGCAAACTTTGTTGGCTCCATCTGTTGAAAATAGCACCCAAATATTATTATATGATTCTATGTTTTTTGGGGGTTTTTTAGAAGTTGTTTGACATATTTGAGCCCTGTGACCTTTTAAGTAGATCTAGGTTATTTTCATTTTCAAACTTTGTCAGGGGCCATCCCAGGACGCTACCAGCTAAATATTGTAAAACTTTGCTCAAAGATTATTCAGAAGTCGTTAATTGTTTGACATATTTGACCCCTGTGACCTTGTAAGTAAGTCAAGGTCATTTTCTTTTTTTACACTTTGTTGGGCTCTATCCCAGAAAGCCAACAGCCAAATATGAAGATTCTATACCTTTCAGTTCTTCAGAAGAAGTCATTTGAAGTGTTTGACACATTTAATTCCTGAGACTTTGGAAGTAGCTATAAAGGTCAAGGTCATTTTCATTCTCAAACTTCGTCGGACTCTATCCCAGAAAACCACCAGCCAACTATGAAGATTCTTTATATTTTAGTTCTTCAGAAGAAGTCATTTGAAGTGTTTGACACATTTGACCCCTGAGACCTTGAAAGTAGGTCAAGGTCATTTTCATTCTCAAACTTTGTCAGGCTCTATCCCAGGAAGCCACCAGTCAAATATGAAGATTCTATACATCTCAGTTCTTCAGAAGAAGTCGTTTGAAGCGTTTCACATATTTGACTGCTGTGACCTTGAAAGCAAGTCAAGGTCATTTTTATTCTTAAACATTGTTGGGCTTTATCCCAGGAAGCTACCAGCCAAATATGAAGATTGTATACCTTTCAGTTCTTCAGAAGAAGTTGTTTAAAGCGTTTGACATATTTGACCCCTGTGACCTTGAAAGTAGGTCAAGGTCATTTTCATTCTCAAAAAATGTTCAGGCTCCTACCAACAAAGCTTTCAGCTCAATATTATGACTCTAGGCCTGTTCGTTCTTCAGAAGAAGTTGCCCTCGGGCAGGTGAGCTAAAAAAACAAACTTCATTACTGTTGATTAACAGTGTTCTGTACTTACTGCGAGTCCGTTTAATGATTTGTACACCCAAACAGACGACAGTGCAAACCGGAAATTGGTCACAAAGCGTGGTCATGCATAAAAGAGGTCCACATTTAAAATCACAACCTACGACAGCTTCACAGGTTCATGTTTTTACAGGAGCCAGTATGGCTTTGAAAATCGATCGAGAGATTTAAGAACAATACGATAGTTACTGTTGATTACATCGAGCTGAGGAGGTGTCAGGTGTCACATTTAACTTTATGAATTAATGTGTTATATGAACGATATAATATGTTTGGGTGTGTTTTCATTTACAGAATCAACTATGTGTACACTCCATTACAGTGATTTGTTTTAGACTTGCGCACTTTCATTTCCGCATTGTATAGTACGAAGACGAAGACAGCTGGATAGTTCAACTTTTTTATGTAACACTTCAGAAGTAAATCTTGACAAGACTTGCAAATACAAATGCAGACCTGGAAAGGCTTTGCTAAGTTTTAGACTAGCCAGAAGAAAAAAAAATCACTAGGCCTGTCCATATTTAATAACGAATTCACAATATGGTCCAACTGTTTTGATCGCGTTAAATGAAAGTAAGTTTTTCGGAAATAACTTACTCTACAGTATTTTTGTAAGCATGTATATTGTAAAATTACATACCTGTATTTGTTATATTGATTATGTATATCATTCATCGATTGATAATAAGCATTGGTTATTAATAAAATCAACAACTGTTGGTGCTATTTCCAACCGCACTTCATACCAAATTTATAACTCAAATACTCGGATAACTTGAAATTTTCCCACAACAACGTTGACTCTTCGAGATAACGAGGTTCGACTGAAGTTCATTACTCTTTCTCGGAATGTGTCCCAAATATTACATTTGTCTGGTTGTGAGTAAATATGTTACCAATTCCTGTACTGTGTCCCAAGCGTTACGGTTGTCTGTATTCTTAAGTCCATTCAGCATGTCGTTCTGCAAGGCTGCTTCTATCTGTAAACAATATAAAGCACCATGTCTTACCTTACTTCAATTTAAAACAGGTTTGATGCTTGTGTGAAAGATTAGAACTATTTCTTGGAGCAGCAGTTATGTCAGATTTTGAAGAACAGACCAAGAACTAATTTTGAAGACAAACAAGACATCACAAGTGATACAAATCCCCTCACAATCACACATCGTGTGACATATGTATGAGGAAATGAACAGAAAATTCAATGATGTAACAGTTACTGCTTTAGTGACTGCATCCGTAGAAGGTATTGTCATGGCAAACAATTCTATCAAGTTTCATGAATTTCTGTTGAAGAATGAAGTCGATAGAGTTACAAAAAAGTTTTTTCTAAAAACAGAAACATTGACCTTGAACTTCAAAGTAGAAACCCGAAACGATAACATGTTGAAGGCATTGCCATATAAAACGCTAGTATGAAGTTTCATGAAATTCGATTTAATTATGAAGTTGCTAGAGCGATGACAATGTTTTTTTTCTAAAAAATAGTAACAGTGACCTTGACCTTCAATATAAAAACACAAAATGAAAACTTGTTCAAGGCATTGCCATACCAAATACTTGTATGAAGTTCAATGAAATTCCGTTGAGAAATGACGTCACTAGAGTGATGACAAAGAGTGTAACATAAGTACGGGCAGAATCCTATGTCATATATAAAATTAAATAGTGTTATTGCCAGAGGCAACCATTGTATGGTTTTGTACAGTGAGTTATTTACGCGGCCTTAAATATTCACAATTTTTACCAAAAAAATAGAAAATTAAATCTAGGCTTGTGAAGGAATTCAATTTTAGCAATGTTTTAAAATGTTAAAAAGTCAAATGAATACGCTATATAACAGCTGCATATTGTGCAACAACAAGTAAGTGTATTTTGTTAAACAAATTATCAACAAATTATTGATGTGTGATATAATGTATTTCCAAACATCGTATTGTATTACTCTTGACATATATGAATGGTTATAACGACATGCTCCCTATTTCATTGCAACATTATGGTTATGAAGTTATTCATCATGGTCAATTTTACTTGTAATATTATTCTGCAGATCAGATTTTGTGATCACATTATTGACCTGCGGCATCGTGAATATCCTGCTCGCGGAAATATCCTGCTGTATGGTATATTGATACAACACTGTTTATCCACTAACCCTATTTCTGTAGATAGCTCCAGTAATACCAGCTGCTAGTTCCAAACAGAAGATAAGTATAACACAGATCAGGTACTGAAAATACACAAAACAGCAAGCACAATTAAAAACAATAACATCTAATAACAAACCCTACAATTAGAATCATTCCTGACCATTAATCCTAAATTGCTACATTCACAATAATTGTGACAATTTATCACAATATCAATCCAATCTGTTAACACAGCAAAATTAGTTTGTCAAAGTGAAGTCAGAACACTTCATGATGGGGTATAAAAATTACAAATTTACCTGAGTGCATGTCAAAAGTAACCGAAAGAAACTGTTTTTTAACAGTCACCTTAAGAAACAAGTAACATATCTTTTAGCAACCTCAATACTTCAGGGGTTACGCTCACTTACACTCTCTGCACCCCTTAAATATGTCACAGCAAAATTGAAGGCACAAAGATAGCTGTTTGATTGGACTCGGGTAAAAAAAAAATACCAGGCTGATACCTGTCCTTGAAGATAACAGACGAGCGATACCCGAGTTCAAAGCCAGTCAATTTACCCGATAAGCGACAGCGAGATTCATTTAATGTACATCAAAGGATCAAACCAGTCTAGCTTCTTGTCTCACAAACAAGGTGGTGCACACCGAGCCTTCAATTTTGCTATGACATATTCATGAGGTGCAGAGAGCGCAAGTGAGTGTAACCCCTGGAGTATCAAGGATACAATCTTTAGGTTTCTTTCTTTGATTAGAAGATGAAGGCAAGTCACTTACTACTCCTAGCACGCATTGGTTCTGTAGTCGCTCTCCGATCAGTCCAATAATGGCCACCACCACAACTATGATCCCAGCAGAGACCATCAGTGCTGTGGCAAAGTTAAATTCCTTACTGTCCAACACCTCGGTAAAGTCAGCGCGGGAGACCTTCAGGTAGATTCCTGCTATGAAGATTCCGATCCCCATTATCTGCAAATGAAGAAAAGAAATAATTAACCCTGTTCAATTTGAAGTCAAATTATTTAGGTTGAATTTATACTCTTATTTTTTATGAAATTTAATTAGCAAAACAGTAACTCAAATTTTGTTGGAGCACATATTGTACGAAAAAACATATAAATGTACCTACTTACCAAGAAGATAAAGTCGCAAACCAGAAAAATCACCCGTGCTGTCTTGTTTCCTGTCGTCATCTTGCCCAAGCCTGGTAAAAATTAAAAACCATAAAAGAAAATTGTGCTATACATCTAAATCTGGTCTACCATGTACAACTGCTCAAGATAACATCTACGTAGGGTAAAAATAGTGTGCAAACTTCAAACAAATCTAATATGCATGCCTATATATCTTCTAACAGTAGCAATATAGGATTTAAGCATCCCTGCCCCACTGCAGTCTTCATTTTTTTTTAATGAACAGTAATCTCCTTTTTATCAAAATCATACAGATCAAGCTCCCTTAATTTGGTCTATTATAAGGAATTATGGCTGATGTCTTCATAAAAATAGTACACCAGCATTATAAAAATATATGTCAATCAATTTTACCACCCTATCAACAGGTACATGTATAAATTTGGAGTGATTTTACCCTCTTTTTGGAGGCTTGTAAATCAATCACTATTTTGGGTGTACCTCTATTTATTGGATTGTAGTGAAAGATTGACTGTACCCTTGTGAACTAATAATTTTGATAAGAATTGTATGTGTTTTCATTTTACTTTATTCTCCATTTCTGTAATAAAATTGCTGTAGTAACTGTTACCCAAGTGAAGGATTATTACCCGTACATGAAGGATTGTGTCAAACCTGTCTGCCTGTTCAAGACAAAAAGCTGTGATCATGTATTAAAAGCAATGATCATATTCAAATACGGGTAGTATTATTTATATATGTTTTAAAATAAAACTGAGATTACGACAAAGTTAACTAAAATGTGATGATGCATGTTGTTCAAAGCAGCCCGTTCAACGTTATGAATGTACTGATTTCCAAAAGACAAAATCATTTAATGTATTTGTCAAACCGGGATAAGCTTGTGAAAATGTTAAAATAACATACTTACTGTTTTAAGTTAACTCAATTATTACGAAAATCCAAAAAATATCACAACGAAAATGGTAAACAGGTTGAGCGTTTACGTACCAGAATAGACCGTTCCCGGTGTTGACGTTTGCTAAAAATAGAAATCTATTCAAGCAATGCAAAACCTGTTTGACAAGTTTCTGACAGGTAGACTGTACATTTCTTTAAACTTGCTAATAACGAAGTGTTGAACATACGAAACAAGAAATATATATTACAAAAGGGGTATTGTTGTTATAATGCATTTCAATCTTCATTGTCAGTGGCGAGAAAGTGTTTTCTAGGATCCCGACTGGACAACAAGTTGGCATTCGAGAAAAAAAAACGTAAACAGGAAGCACATGGTGACGTGTAAACAAATAATCGAATCCGGACCGAATCGGAACAAAGATTAGAGGAAATTTAATCTATTTAAAGACAGTGCATGCAAAACATATAAAGTATTCTATTTCTTTGCATCATTTTGGCAGTAAATTTTCTCATGTGTATTTAGTTTTTGGCATCCTTAATTAAGTTATTCATAATTATAATGTTCTGACAAGTTCATAGCTATAATGTAGCGAGCACTAGCGCTCTGCACATAATCATCACCAACGAAAAAAGGTCATAATTTAATTTATTTTGTTTTATTTTTCTTGGAGTTATTTGCCCATTTAACATAGCAAGCAGTGAAAATATATGTTAGGTCAATATTTTTCTGTAAAATTACGGATACATTTCACAATATTCTTATTTTCAAAAAACAACCTAGACTACTATATATTTATTTTGGGCAAATCAATAACAGAATAAAATTAATCTTCAAGACTTCACGATATATCATCAAACCCTAACTCGAATATTTTTTCTTTGATACAATACACACAATTTATTTCATCTTACTAAAAGATGATGCTAGATCATAACTAATTAAGTGACTGTAGTTAAAAAACTAAATTAAATGAATGAAAGCTCCCAAACTACATGCAATGTTTAAATGATATGATAGAAATTACATTTTTTTCTTTATATTCTTTTAACACGGCACAAAAAAATATGCAAATTATCTTTGTAAGAAATCATTTCATCATTTTTTTTTGGCAAGTTTGTTTACTTTTTTCTCATAAAGGTTATATCAGCTGACATTCATTTCTAATGGTGATATGGAGGTTTAAGGGTGTATCCTACCTTTCTGTGATATGGAGATTTAAGGGTGTATCCTACCTTACTCAGAATACAATTTCTGTGACATGCATATGAAGACTTAAGGATGTATGCTACCTTACTTAGAATCCTCTGATATGGAGACTAAGGGTGTATTCTACCTAACTGTGATATGGAAACTTAAGGATGTATGCTACCTTACTGTGATATGGAGACTTAAGGGCGTATTCTACCTTTTTGTGACATGCATTGTTAAGAATGTCATGCATGTAGCTGTCTATATGCTGGTATGCAGGTGAATCCACGAAATTTTCAAACAGAGAAACAAGACAAAACACACTGTTTGTAGAACCCTTTGTCTCCTTACCAAGGCCATGTCCTGGTCCCACTCCAAACTTCAAACGACCCGACAAAGGACTAGCTACACTCCTGGATGTATTCTGCCTTACTTTTACATGCATCTTTGCTAGCCAAGGGTACGACTGCCATGCATAAATTGACAAAGTGTCATGACAGTTTACACTTTATATAAAATGTGTAAAATGCCCATTTATAATTTGACAAACTGTCAGACAGAACACTTTTTACTAATATGAGCGTACAAGGGTTATGATCTGGTACGATCTACATACTCTTAAATGAACCTAAACACTTGGCTAGCAAACATATGCTACGAGTATGCTACCTTAACTCAACATGGAGACTTAAGGATGTATGCTACCTAACTGTGACATTGCATTGTTAAGGATGTATGCTACCTAACTGTGACATTGCATTGTTAAGGATGTATACTACCTTACTGTGACATTGAATAGCTAAGTATGTATGCTACCTTACTGTGACATTGCATTGTTAAGGATGTATACTACCTTACTGTGACATTGTATTATTGAGGATGTGTGTTGCCTCAGTGTGACATTGCATTGTTAAGGATGTAGCTACCTTACTTTGACATTGAATTGTTTAGGATGTATGCTACCTTACTGAGACATTGAATTGTTCAGGATGTATGCTACCTTACTGTGACATTGTATTGTTAAGGATGTATGCTACCTTACTGTGACATTGTANAACATCGTATTGTATTACTCTTGACATATATGAATGGTTATAACGACATGCTCCCTATTTCATTGCAACATTATGGTTATGAAGTTATTCATCATGGTCAATTTTACTTGTAATATTATTCTGCAGATCAGATTTTGTGATCACATTATTGACCTGCGGCATCGTGAATATCCTGCTCGCGGAAATATCCTGCTGTATGGTATATTGATACAACACTGTTTATCCACTAACCCTATTTCTGTAGATAGCTCCAGTAATACCAGCTGCTAGTTCCAAACAGAAGATAAGTATAACACAGATCAGGTACTGAAAATACACAAAACAGCAAGCACAATTAAAAACAATAACATCTAATAACAAACCCTACAATTAGAATCATTCCTGACCATTAATCCTAAATTGCTACATTCACAATAATTGTGACAATTTATCACAATATCAATCCAATCTGTTAACACAGCAAAATTAGTTTGTCAAAGTGAAGTCAGAACACTTCATGATGGGGTATAAAAATTACAAATTTACCTGAGTGCATGTCAAAAGTAACCGAAAGAAACTGTTTTTTAACAGTCACCTTAAGAAACAAGTAACATATCTTTTAGCAACCTCAATACTTCAGGGGTTACGCTCACTTACACTCTCTGCACCCCTTAAATATGTCACAGCAAAATTGAAGGCACAAAGATAGCTGTTTGATTGGACTCGGGTAAAAAAAAAATACCAGGCTGATACCTGTCCTTGAAGATAACAGACGAGCGATACCCGAGTTCAAAGCCAGTCAATTTACCCGATAAGCGACAGCGAGATTCATTTAATGTACATCAAAGGATCAAACCAGTCTAGCTTCTTGTCTCACAAACAAGGTGGTGCACACCGAGCCTTCAATTTTGCTATGACATATTCATGAGGTGCAGAGAGCGCAAGTGAGTGTAACCCCTGGAGTATCAAGGATACAATCTTTAGGTTTCTTTCTTTGATTAGAAGATGAAGGCAAGTCACTTACTACTCCTAGCACGCATTGGTTCTGTAGTCGCTCTCCGATCAGTCCAATAATGGCCACCACCACAACTATGATCCCAGCAGAGACCATCAGTGCTGTGGCAAAGTTAAATTCCTTACTGTCCAACACCTCGGTAAAGTCAGCGCGGGAGACCTTCAGGTAGATTCCTGCTATGAAGATTCCGATCCCCATTATCTGCAAATGAAGAAAAGAAATAATTAACCCTGTTCAATTTGAAGTCAAATTATTTAGGTTGAATTTATACTCTTATTTTTTATGAAATTTAATTAGCAAAACAGTAACTCAAATTTTGTTGGAGCACATATTGTACGAAAAAACATATAAATGTACCTACTTACCAAGAAGATAAAGTCGCAAACCAGAAAAATCACCCGTGCTGTCTTGTTTCCTGTCGTCATCTTGCCCAAGCCTGGTAAAAATTAAAAACCATAAAAGAAAATTGTGCTATACATCTAAATCTGGTCTACCATGTACAACTGCTCAAGATAACATCTACGTAGGGTAAAAATAGTGTGCAAACTTCAAACAAATCTAATATGCATGCCTATATATCTTCTAACAGTAGCAATATAGGATTTAAGCATCCCTGCCCCACTGCAGTCTTCATTTTTTTTTAATGAACAGTAATCTCCTTTTTATCAAAATCATACAGATCAAGCTCCCTTAATTTGGTCTATTATAAGGAATTATGGCTGATGTCTTCATAAAAATAGTACACCAGCATTATAAAAATATATGTCAATCAATTTTACCACCCTATCAACAGGTACATGTATAAATTTGGAGTGATTTTACCCTCTTTTTGGAGGCTTGTAAATCAATCACTATTTTGGGTGTACCTCTATTTATTGGATTGTAGTGAAAGATTGACTGTACCCTTGTGAACTAATAATTTTGATAAGAATTGTATGTGTTTTCATTTTACTTTATTCTCCATTTCTGTAATAAAATTGCTGTAGTAACTGTTACCCAAGTGAAGGATTATTACCCGTACATGAAGGATTGTGTCAAACCTGTCTGCCTGTTCAAGACAAAAAGCTGTGATCATGTATTAAAAGCAATGATCATATTCAAATACGGGTAGTATTATTTATATATGTTTTAAAATAAAACTGAGATTACGACAAAGTTAACTAAAATGTGATGATGCATGTTGTTCAAAGCAGCCCGTTCAACGTTATGAATGTACTGATTTCCAAAAGACAAAATCATTTAATGTATTTGTCAAACCGGGATAAGCTTGTGAAAATGTTAAAATAACATACTTACTGTTTTAAGTTAACTCAATTATTACGAAAATCCAAAAAATATCACAACGAAAATGGTAAACAGGTTGAGCGTTTACGTACCAGAATAGACCGTTCCCGGTGTTGACGTTTGCTAAAAATAGAAATCTATTCAAGCAATGCAAAACCTGTTTGACAAGTTTCTGACAGGTAGACTGTACATTTCTTTAAACTTGCTAATAACGAAGTGTTGAACATACGAAACAAGAAATATATATTACAAAAGGGGTATTGTTGTTATAATGCATTTCAATCTTCATTGTCAGTGGCGAGAAAGTGTTTTCTAGGATCCCGACTGGACAACAAGTTGGCATTCGAGAAAAAAAAACGTAAACAGGAAGCACATGGTGACGTGTAAACAAATAATCGAATCCGGACCGAATCGGAACAAAGATTAGAGGAAATTTAATCTATTTAAAGACAGTGCATGCAAAACATATAAAGTATTCTATTTCTTTGCATCATTTTGGCAGTAAATTTTCTCATGTGTATTTAGTTTTTGGCATCCTTAATTAAGTTATTCATAATTATAATGTTCTGACAAGTTCATAGCTATAATGTAGCGAGCACTAGCGCTCTGCACATAATCATCACCAACGAAAAAAGGTCATAATTTAATTTATTTTGTTTTATTTTTCTTGGAGTTATTTGCCCATTTAACATAGCAAGCAGTGAAAATATATGTTAGGTCAATATTTTTCTGTAAAATTACGGATACATTTCACAATATTCTTATTTTCAAAAAACAACCTAGACTACTATATATTTATTTTGGGCAAATCAATAACAGAATAAAATTAATCTTCAAGACTTCACGATATATCATCAAACCCTAACTCGAATATTTTTTCTTTGATACAATACACACAATTTATTTCATCTTACTAAAAGATGATGCTAGATCATAACTAATTAAGTGACTGTAGTTAAAAAACTAAATTAAATGAATGAAAGCTCCCAAACTACATGCAATGTTTAAATGATATGATAGAAATTACATTTTTTTCTTTATATTCTTTTAACACGGCACAAAAAAATATGCAAATTATCTTTGTAAGAAATCATTTCATCATTTTTTTTTGGCAAGTTTGTTTACTTTTTTCTCATAAAGGTTATATCAGCTGACATTCATTTCTAATGGTGATATGGAGGTTTAAGGGTGTATCCTACCTTTCTGTGATATGGAGATTTAAGGGTGTATCCTACCTTACTCAGAATACAATTTCTGTGACATGCATATGAAGACTTAAGGATGTATGCTACCTTACTTAGAATCCTCTGATATGGAGACTAAGGGTGTATTCTACCTAACTGTGATATGGAAACTTAAGGATGTATGCTACCTTACTGTGATATGGAGACTTAAGGGCGTATTCTACCTTTTTGTGACATGCATTGTTAAGAATGTCATGCATGTAGCTGTCTATATGCTGGTATGCAGGTGAATCCACGAAATTTTCAAACAGAGAAACAAGACAAAACACACTGTTTGTAGAACCCTTTGTCTCCTTACCAAGGCCATGTCCTGGTCCCACTCCAAACTTCAAACGACCCGACAAAGGACTAGCTACACTCCTGGATGTATTCTGCCTTACTTTTACATGCATCTTTGCTAGCCAAGGGTACGACTGCCATGCATAAATTGACAAAGTGTCATGACAGTTTACACTTTATATAAAATGTGTAAAATGCCCATTTATAATTTGACAAACTGTCAGACAGAACACTTTTTACTAATATGAGCGTACAAGGGTTATGATCTGGTACGATCTACATACTCTTAAATGAACCTAAACACTTGGCTAGCAAACATATGCTACGAGTATGCTACCTTAACTCAACATGGAGACTTAAGGATGTATGCTACCTAACTGTGACATTGCATTGTTAAGGATGTATACTACCTTACTGTGACATTGAATAGCTAAGTATGTATGCTACCTTACTGTGACATTGCATTGTTAAGGATGTATACTACCTTACTGTGACATTGTATTATTGAGGATGTGTGTTGCCTCAGTGTGACATTGCATTGTTAAGGATGTAGCTACCTTACTTTGACATTGAATTGTTTAGGATGTATGCTACCTTACTGAGACATTGAATTGTTCAGGATGTATGCTACCTTACTGTGACATTGTATTGTTAAGGATGTATGCTACCTTACTGTGACATTGTATTGTTAAGGATGTATGCTACCTTACTGGTAAATTGCATTTTTCAGGATGTATACTACCTTACTGAAACATTGAATCGTTAAGAATGTATGCTACCTTACTGTGACATTGTATTGTTAAGGATGTATGCTACCTTTCTGTGACATTGTATTGTTAAGGATGTACGCTACCTTACTGGTAAATTGTATTGTTCAGGATGTATGCTACCTTACTGAAACATTACATTGTTAAGGAGGTATGCTACCTTACTGTGACATTGTATTGGTAAGGATGTATGCTACCTTTCTGTGACATTGTATTGTTAAAGATGTATACTATCCTACTGCGACATTGACTTGTTAAGGATGTATACTACCTTACTGTGACATTGTATTGTTAAGGATGTATGCTACCTTACTGTGACATTGCATTGTTAAGGATGTATGCTACCTTACTGTGACATTGCATTGTTAAGGATGTATGCTACCTTGCTGTGACATTGTATTGTTAAGGATATATACTACCTTACTGTGACATTGCATTGTTAAGGATGTATGCTACGTTACTGTGACATTGTATTGTTAAGGATGTATGCTACCTTACTGTGATATTGCATTGTTAAGGATGTATGCTACCTTACTGTGACATTACATTGTTAATGATGTATGCTACCTTATTGTGACATTGGTAAGGATTTATGCTACAATGTACCTAACTGCGACATTGTTAAGGATGTATACTACCTTACTGTGACATTGAATTGTTAAGGATGTATACTACCTTACTGTGACATTGAATTGTTAAGGATGTATGCTACCATACTGTAACATTGCATTGTTAAGGATGTATTCTACATTACTGTGACATTGAACTGTTAATGATGTTTGCTACCTTACTGTGACATTGTAATGGATGTATACTATACTACTGTGACATTGCATTGTTAACGATGTATATTATCCTACTGCGACATTGTATTGTTAAGGATGTATGCTACTTTACTGTGACATTGATAGTTAAGGATGTCTGCTTCCTTACTGTGACATTGTATTGTTAAGGAGGTATGCTACCTTACTGTGACATTTAATTGTTAAGGATGTATGCTACCTTGCTGTGACATTGTATTGTTAAGGATGTATGCTGCCTTGCTCTGACATTACATTGTTTAGAATGTATGCTACTTTACTGTGACATTGATAGTTAAGGATGTCTGCTTCCTTACTGTGACATTGTATTGTTAAGAAGGTATGCTACTTTACTTTGACATTTCATTGTTAAGGATGTATGCCACCTTACTGGTAAATTGCATTGTTAAGGATGTATACTATCCTACTGCAACATTGTATTGTTAATGTATGCTACCATACTGTAACATTGCATTGTTAAGGATGTATTCTACATTACTGTGACATTGAACTGTTAATGATGTTTGCTACCTTACCGTGACATTGTAATGGATGTATACTATACTACTGTGACATTGCATTGTTAACGATGTATATTATCCTACCGCGACATTGTATTGTTAAGGATGTACGCTACCTTACTGTGACATTGCATTGTCACGGATGTATGTTACCTTAATGTGATATTGCATTGTTCACGATGTATGCTACCTTACCTACCTTACTGTGACATTGTATTGTTAGGGATGTATGCTACCTTGCTGTGACATTACAATGTTAATGACGTATGCTACCTTGCTTTGACATTGTATGGTTAAGCATGTATGCTACCTTGCTGTGATATTACATTGTTAAGGATGCATGCTACCTTACTGTGACATTGTATTGTTAAGAAGGTATGCTACTTTACTTTGACATTTCATTGTTAAGGATGTATGCCACCTTACTGGTAAATTGCATTGTTAAGGATGTATACTATCCTACTGCAACATTGTATTGTTAAGGATGTACGCTACCTTACTGTGACATTGCATTGTAAAGGATGTTTACTATCCTACTGCGACATTGTATTGTTAAGGATGTACGCTACCTTACTGTGACATTGCATTGTAAAGGATGTTTACTATCCTACTGCGACATTGTATTGTTAAGGATGTATGCTGCCTTGCTCTGACCTTACATTGTTAAGAATGTATGCTACTTTACTATGACATTGATAGTTAAGGATGTATGCTTCCTTACTTGACATTGTATTGTTAAGGATGTATGCTGCCTTGCTCTGACCTTACATTGTTAAGAATGTATGCTACTTTACTGCGACATTGATAGTTAAGGATGTATGTTTCCTTACTGCGACATTGATTTGATAAGGATTATATATGCTACCTTACTGGTAAATTGCTAAGTTCGGGATGTATGCTACCTGACAGAAACTTTGAATTGTTAAGGATGTATGCTACTTTACTGTGACATTGATAGTTAAGGATGTATGCTTCCTTACTTGACATTGTATTGTTAAGGATGTATATTATCCTATTATGACACTGCATTGTAGAGGATGTATGCTACCTTAATGTGATATTGCATTGTTCACGATGTATGCTACCTTACCTACCTTACTGTGACATTGTATTGTTAGGGATGTATGCTACCTTGCTGTGACATTACAATGTTAATGACGTATGCTACCTTGCTTTGACATTGTATTGTTAAGCATGTATGCTACCTTACTGTGACATTGAATTGTTAAGGATGTATGCTTCCTTACTGAAACATTGAATTGTTAAGGATGTATACTACCTTACTTTGACAATGAACTGTTAACGATGTATGCTACCTTACTGTGACATTACATTGTTAAGGATGTATCCTACCTTACTATAATATTGCATTGTTAAGGATGTATACTATCCTACTGCAACATTGTATTGTTAAGGATGTACGCTACCTTACTGTGACATTGCATTGTCACGGATGTATGTTACCTTAATGTGATATTGCATTGTTCACGATGTATGCTACCTTACCTACCTTACTGTGACATTGTATTGTTAGGGATGTATGCTACCTTGCTGTGACATTGTATTGTTAAGCATGTATGCTACCTTACTGTGACATT